TAAACAATTTGTTTTTTTCCTTCCCCTCCACAAATTATACCAACATCAAATAAAGTGAAAGCAGGAGTTATATCGTGGGGGAGGGCCATACAAAGCAACAAAGCAATCATCTTATAAATATGTTAGAAACAATTGCATGAAAGGAAAAACATTTGAATACTTATCTTGGGGTTCATTTCACCTAACATCAACTTATCTGACCATTTCTGCTTGTCTCAGACATATATATACTAGTTATTGGTAATAAGGGAAACCATGGGGCCTATGTTTCTTTGGGCCTGGCTTACTTCACTTAATATAATTTTTCTAAGTCTTTCCATTTCCTAACAAATGGGGCAATGTCATTCTTTCTGATGGAAGCATAGAATTCCATTGTGTATATATACCACATTTTCTTGATCCATTCATCTACTGAGGGGCATGTGGGTTGGTTCCATATCTTAGCTATGGTGAATAATGCTGCAATAAACACAGTTATGCTGGTCTTGCTTGTGATCATTTGGGTAAATGCCCAAAAGTGGGATTGCTGGGTCATAGGGGAGGTCTATGTGGAGTCTTTTGAGGAACCTCCATACTGCTTTCCACAGTGGTTGAACAAGAAAATTCCATGTGATAACAGACAGAGAATAACAAAATTGAAGTAACTTAAGTTCTTTTTCTTCATCCTTGTAATGGAGTGTTTGCATTGTCATTTCAAATGTACTGTTTAAAGCAGGGATGTGTGGTTCCCCAGGAATTGGAAAGGGATTACACTTGAATCCAGAGCTGTGGTCCAGCAATTTAAATGTGAATGTAGCTGAAAAAGGGTCAAGATATCCTTTGTGAAAATGCCAGCTGATTAAGGGGATAATTTCTTCAACTCTCTCTCTCTCTCTCTCTTTCTCTCTCTCTGTGTTAGGACTGGGGCTTGAAATTGGGGTTTTGCTTGGCTGTTTCACTCAAGGCTAGCACACTACCACTTACACTACACCTGCACTTCCAGCTTTTATGCAATTAATTGGTGATAAGAGTGTCTCAGATTTGTCTGTGATCCTCAGCTCTCAGCTCTCTGAATAGCTAGGATTATAAGCCTGATGCTACAACTCTTATTCTGAACATGTGTTATTGTCCTTTAGTGAGAACTCTTAATATTCTCAAGGGGAATTCAAACGCTCTATTCTGGGGGATTTTTGTTTCTTTTTTGTTGGTTGTGAGGCCTGAACTCTGGGCCTGGGCACTGTCCCTCAGCAGTTCAGCTCAAGGCTAGTGCTCTACCACTTGGGCCACAGTGCTATTTTGGCTTTTTCTGCTTACAAGGTGTGGAGGAATCAAACCCAGGGCCTCATGCATACAAGACAAGCACTGGACCACTGAAACACCTTCTCAGCCCCTTTTGTTTCTTTTTGTTTGCTTTTCGTCAGAGACTGGGACTCAAATTTTGTACCTAATGCTTTTGCTCCTTGGCTGGTGCTCTACCAATGGAGCCAAGACTCCAACCCCTCTGGTAGGATTTTTTTTTTGTCAGTCATGGGTCTTGAACTCTGGGCCTGGGTGCTGTCCCTGAGCTCTTCAGCTCAAGGCTAGTGCTCTACCACTTGAACCACAGCGCCACTTCCCATTTTCTGGTAGTTAACTGGAGATAAGAGTCTCAAAGATGTTCCTGCCCAGGCTAGCTTTAAACAGTGATCCTCAGATCTAAGCCTCCTGAGTAGCTAGGATTTACAGGCGTGAGCCACTGGTGCCGGCTCTGGTAAGATTTTTTAATAGCTACCTGTATTTTAGTGTATAATTTTTCATTTTCTCTCCCAATCCCTCTCTATTTCACTGGCTCTGGGGATGAAACCCAGGACTTCCTGCATGCAAGGTAAGTGCTTCACCACTGAGCTACTCTCCAGCCCTTCACTGTATAGGCCTTCATGTTCTATAGTGAATTCTGTCCCCGGCACTATACTATCAATTGTGCTTTTGGCTAGACGCCTGGTCGAGAATCTGATGCTCTTTTTTATTTTTAGCAGTACTGGGGTTTGAACTCAGGGCTTCATGCTTGCTAGGCAGGTGTTCTTACCACTTAAGCTATGCCTCCAACCTTTTTTAGTCTGGTTGTTTTTCAGATAGAGTTCTCAGGTTTGCCTAGGTATAGCCTTGGATTTTGATCTTCTGACTTATGCCTCCTGCATAGCTATATTGGACAGAAAAGTGCCATCATGCCTGGCTTGTTTTGTTGAGATGCGCTCTTGCTTTTTGCCTGGGCTGGACTTGACCTGTGTACTCCTACATCTACTCTCAAGTAGTTGGGATGACATCAAGACGATGAGTTTCAGGATGTTAATATATGGGTAATTTGGCAGAGTAGAGAGGCCTGTTTTAGTTGTGGTGTGGTTTAAGGATTTGGCTCTGAGAAATAGCCATCCAGATCCTAGTCCGGTTGCCAAGACTCATGAGGGAGGCTTGGGTTAGTCACAGCTTTGGGAATCACTGACATTGGAGTCAGAGTTGAGGCCTAGTGTGTCTGAACAAGGGCTTTAAAGGGAAAGCCTGCAGACCACGGAGATTGAGTTGATTCCCCTGGGGAACTGGCATTTAAAAGACACAAGGCACCAACAGGACTATGAAGAGGAGAGTGAAGTGTTCAGGCCCTTGGGATGTGGAACATTACCAGCCATGGAGCCAGGAACAGAGGGCTGGGATGGGTAAGGGGGGACTAAGCCAAGGTTTTAGAAATGCAATGAGGAAGAGGCTGTCTGGCCTGGGAATCAGCTTTTTTTTTTTTTTTCTGGAGAAGGCAGGGCATGGACAAGTGAGTGAAAGTTGAGGCTGGGTGTCTATGCTTGTAGAAATGGAACAGGATGCTGGGGAAAGGATTGATATGACAGCGTGAGGCCGGGGGGTGGGGGAAGGTGCAGTAGGATTAGGTCTGGGCAGACCCAAGAGTATGGAAGGGGAGGAGCTGAAGAACTGGGGTAACAAATGCGGTATGTCCTCCCAGAATGGCAAAGGATGTCAATCAAGTCAGTAGGATGGGACACCCAGGAGCAGGGATCAGCGTGTACAGAGAAAAGGCTAAGGACACAGGGAAGTGAATGAAGGGTAGGAGGTTGGGGGACATCTAGTCAGGTGGGAGAGGGGTATCTACCTGTCAAGACTTCTGGAGGTGGGAGTGGGGGTGGGGTTGTCAAGATCTAGAGTTTGACAAGGCTGTGTTCCTGTCTTTCCTGTCACTTATCCTTGGCGTCCTCAGCATTGACAGGAATGTGCAATGGGTAAGTGTGGGTTGAGTGGTGAGTACCCATTCTTTGCAGACTAAAATGGGAGGCGTGAAGATGATTGGTGGCTCTCCCAAGTTAGCTTTTCATCAGGTTGTTGACTGTTGTGTAACTAGCTAGGAATAATGGATACTCCCGCAAAGATAAGATTCAAAATAGGCAGAGAGAATGAGTTAAACAGACAGGCCACTTAAAAATGGCTGAAATTCAAGTACTGCATGAAGTACTTGTCTATGCGAGTTGCATAGACAAGTTGAGAATTGATTGGGAGTTCACATGAGAAGTCATGATGTGGTCTAGGATTATTATTGGACTCTTCAGGGACTAACAGATTTGTGTGTTAGTCATAATGGTTCTTTTTTTTTTTTTTCCATCGGTTCTGGGTCTTGAACTCCGGGCCTGGGCACTGTCCATGTGCTCTTCAGCTCAATGCTAGCGCTCTACCACTTGAGCCACAGTACCACTTCTGGTTTTCTGAGTGGGTTATTGAAGATAAAAGTCTCATGGCCTTTTCTGCCCAGGCTGGCTTTGAACCTAGATCCTCAAATCCCAGCCTCCTGAGTAGCTAGGATTACAGGTGTGAGCCACCATGCCCAGCTCATAATGGTTCTTACCTGCCATGTTCTAAATGCCTGGGACTTTTACTTCTGCAGTACTTTATTATTCTTCATATCTATCTTCATATCTACCTTATGTTAGTAACCTATTTACAGAGAATGACAGAGAGATGGAACTGATCGGCTCACATCATGAGAAAGAGAGTCATGCATGTTCTTTCCTGAGCCTTCAGTGCTTTAAAAGTTATGAAACATTGGTGAGCACTTATCAAAATACCATGACTAGATCGTGGGGTTCTTAGTATCTTTGTGTGGGATTGACCACCAGATCCTACCTGGAATCAGATGGCCTGTCTCTAGAACCAATGAAGAATAATGCTGTAGGTGTGAGCAGGGAATTAGGATTGGAGTCATGTAGCAGAGGGGTCTTACTGGGACACTGCTGTCATAGGAAGAGACTCTGTGGGTGGGCTTACACTGAAGTATATGTGGATTAGTTCATAACTGCACCAAGTTGATATGGAATCCCTCAAGAATTTGATATCTAAAGAACTCCATGTTAAAGATATTTCTATCTGTACAACATAAAACAGGCAGATATTTTAAAAGATGTAGCTCTGTATTACTGATAGGCCCTCAGCAGTGAGCATTCCTGTTTACAATGACCTAGTGGGCTGTAGGGGGGTTTATGGAGGCTGAGTTGCTTGTCTCAGACACACGATGTGAGCGTGTTTGTGATTCCAAGTAGTAGGGAGAGGCAGCTTTTCATTCCTCTTTCTCCTTTCTCCTTCTTCACTCAGTTCCCTAATCAAGAGCCAATACCAGAATTGACACTATTAATTAGGAACATTGGGCCTGAGGGAGCAGAGCTCTTCTCCATCTTTTCCCTCTTCCTGTTCAACTTATGTCCAAGGCATTGGAACCAGACAGAATTCAGTGATCATTAGTAAATGCAATGCTGGAAGGTAAACTTTTAATGGTAGGGGAAGGGTACATCTAAGTTGGCAGAAGCCAGGTTTACCAGCAGACAGGGTCTGAGCACCCCTTGACCAGGTGGCAGGAGCATCAGGGCAGTCTCCCTCACCGTGGAGTCAGGGCTTCCGCTGGGCATCTACAACAGAAACTGGAAGAGGGACTATGGGTCTCTTCAATGTCACAATTTAGTCCATGTTCAAGAGGGAAAAAAAAGACCCACGCTGAATTTGAGTGCAAAAAATAAATATAAAATTTATTAAAACACCCACAATATTTTAAAGATACCAGGAGTAATACAGTTCACAAACCCAGTTGTTTGTGTAAATTATAATAAAATACAAATCAAAAAAAGGATACATACTTGCAATTTCTAGGCACCCTAAATTAAATTGACTGAAACACTGGGGGAGAAGGAAGGGCAAGGCGGGGGGGTAGCTCAGGAGGCAAACCAATAAAGTAGAAGGAAAAATATTAACAAAAAGGCAAAAATTATACAAAATAAAATTATCAGCATAAATTTACTGTACTAAGGATATCTACAGTTTAATAATACACATCCTATTGCCTTGAGACATTGCAAAAAATCTACCATTCATCCATCAACCCCAGATAAAACTTCATTTCAAGTAGCCACAGTTTACAAAGTCAAGACGGAATATTCAAGTATGGTTGTTAAGTTCACCTCCATTGGAAGCCAAGTAACCAAACAGGAATTCAAACAGATAAGAAATAAACCACATCCGAAAGCTACAAGGGTTCTAGATTAAGTCTAATGCATTAAAATGCCACGAGACGACCAGTCCTTGTTTCTTTAAATACATGAAAAAAAAAGACACCACTCCATTTTTTCTCCCTCTTCCCCCCAAAAAGAAAAAAGAAAAGATATTAGAACCAAGAAAATTTGAGATGTCCAAATGTGCCAATTAGTATTTTAAGTTGCCATGTCAAGAGTGATGAGTGCCCTAAGTGACGGCAGTCACGAGGAGAAGAGCACGAGCAATATAAAAAGCGTCCCTGATATCAGAATAGAAGCAAGTGAGGACCAGGCCAAATAGCTCGCTGATTCTTAGGCACAAATCAGCTTCAGACCTGGCATGGCCGCCAAGGTCTTTGCTCGGGGGAGAAGCCTATTGCTTGGCCTTTGCTGGCAGCTCTGCAGGAGGAAGGGCTGGGTGTGCCAGACAGGTTACACTCATAGAAACAACTGTGCATAGGAGGGTGTGGGGCTGGGAGCCTGTGCGGGGGTACGCACCTCAAAAACGTTCTTTTGGTCCAGGGTATGTTGAAGTTGGCCATGGACAGCAGCACATGCAGCTGGCAAATAAAACTAGGTGTTGAGGGGAAGTCATTTGAAATGACAGCAATGATGACAAAGCTCAATAAGATGGGCATAGGAAATTCACATTTTATTCAAAAGCAAGAAAACTTATGGAGAATAAAAGCCAATCATGCTCCTTCCTTTCAGCATTTTGCCATCATAACTGCTGAAGAATGAAAACCAAAATGACCCCAGATTTGTCAAGGTCAAGTATGTCATCAAATGGATAACCTGCAGGTATCAGTCGCTCAGAGAACCTATTGAAGATGTCACAATGTCCTGCTTTTGAGGTATTTAAAAAAAAATTGTGACAGTGGATGATGCAAAAATGGCGCTTCCTGTTATGTTCTTAAAACACCCAACTTCTGTGGACCCAAGGAGAAATTTAGCACCAACTAAAAAAGCAGCCTCAGTGGCACCAAAGGACAAAGGCCCTATGTCTCCAGTCTGGATTCAAGGAGCTGCCCAAGAGCAGCAGAAGCCATGCTGGCCAAAGGCTGTGGTGAGCGAAGGAGCAAGCCCCTTGTCTGCCATGGTCCCGGTGCCTAGTGAGGAAGGAGCTCTCTCTGGACCCTCAGTGTCCCCGTTCAAGGCTCCAGGGTCATCTGCTTAGCACCCTGGACCACAGGAGGATGCCTGCCAAGCTAGAAGAGGCAGGAGTACCTGAACCCCCTTCTTCTAAAGCATCACCCCCAGGCCCTGTCTCATCTGGCCCCAAAAGATGGGTACAAAAATCACAGTGTCCACTCTTCACTGCTTCCCTGACCAAGGAGTGACTTGCTTTCTTGCCTTTCTTTGGCCACCAAGGTAAGAACAACAAACCCAAACAACAATAAACCAAACCAAAACAAAAACCTGTTCAGAGCCGAGTATAGCATGGTAAACAGAGGTCTAGGAAGACAGCACCAAAAGGGGGGGGGGGGAATAAAAAGCAGAGAGACTGGAGCCCACCTTGTTTTTGGTTGGTCGTGGTTTCAGAACATTGATAGCACCTCAGCGAGACAGGATCAGGGACAGTCACATTAAAACACCATAGCACCATTTTATTTAGACTATTTCAATTCATAAAAATGCTTCCTAGTCCATAAAACACATTTCAGTAACAAAAGGAAAGATACTGGTTGAGGCACATCAGGGCTATCGGAGTTTCCCACCACCTTTGCCTTGGTGTGAGATCTTGAAGAGTTAAACTTCAAGAACAAAGTCTGGCTGGATTTCTTTCACTGACATCAGATTACAACCATCCTCATGCACCTATTGCTGTCTGATACAAAGCGACGGAACCACGCTACTTCCTTCCTTGCTTCAGCACTTTTCAAAACAGTCTCTTGCTCTGCAAACTACTGTTTCCAAGAGGCAGATGGGAGGGCCAGAGGGGCCTGGAGAATCCCTTTCCATGCACACCACTATCATCTCAGTTAGAAGGCAAAGTAGCACCCAGGAGATTGGGTGTGGGGAATTTAGGCCCTGCTGATAAACCAGACCCGAAAACAACCCCCTTCCCCCAAATCTATGCAACACCCTTAGTGGAGCTTTCTGATGGTAAGATGGTTTCTGAAGCTAGCACCAGTTATTTTGTGAGAACCTGCTGCAAGGTTAGTTTTTACTTAAAAAAAGGTCTCTTACGTTGAACTTTCCAAGTACTTCCCTGGTATACAATAAGCCGGGAAAACAAAGCAAAAAATGAAGCAGACATGTGCACGGTGTGTGGATGGTGTCTGTGGATGGGGCACCCAGGGGGGTGACTGTGAGACTATCGTTTTCCGATGACACAGTACTCTTAAAACTTGGTCATGCTGTTAGGTTCTTTAGTTGCAATGGCTTTCACTTTTCTTCTCATGATACAAATGTCTTTCAATCACTTTTAGGGCTTAAAAAAATGATTAGTGCCAGTAAAAAATAAAAATTTGATTTTTTTTTTCTTTTTTAAGAAGCCTTCAGCAGCAAGGGGAGGGGGGCTAAAGAGCTGTGCATAGTTACTTCTTCTTAAATACACGTCTAAAGCATGCTCATTTCAGTGACTGAGATTTGAGGTAGGTTATACATGTAGTGTGTGAAAAGTCAGCATGGGCACGAGCATGGCCACAGCACCCCTAACTCTGGAAAAATGCTCGCTCAGGGGTGGGGGTGGGATTGGGAACATCCAACACAGACTGCCTCTCCCTCACCTCGCCTGGCCTCGCTGGAGCCTGTTTCCTGGCCTAGAGCTTATGAACCAAGGCTGTGTGGCAAGGGGGACACACGTCACATGCTTTTTAGCTTGTATTGGTTTCTTTCTTCTAATGGCTTTGCTACCGTAGGGTGACAAGAGAAAGAGTATACTGAACACACATCAGAGAGACTCACACATGCCAAGTATCAGAATCACCTGGGTTACACTCAGGACCTTCCAAACCAACAGCCAACCTGGGGCTTCCACGAGCCATACGGACGGTCACATTCTCCAAATGTTTCGCAAAATAGCATATTTCTTGCTTAAGATCATTTAAAATGAAGTTTTCAAGGCACCCCCGCATCTACCTAAGCAAGGAGTCAAATGAGACCTGCGTAAAAGTACTGATGCGATAAGCAAAATAGCTTTTAAAGGACCCAACTTTTCCTCAAAACTAGAAAATCAGCATGCTTCTTAAAGACTCTGCCTCCTTTCGCTTGTCAAACTGAAGGTCAGAGGTTTTCCTATAAATCTGAGTTCTGAATAAATCTAAATCCTGATAAGCTCTTGGGTATTTATTTCAAAAGCAATAATATTTCATTTTTGTCCTGTAAAATAAATGCAACTTTACAGAATATGGTAAAAGTGGAGGATAGACAAAGCACATTAAATATTTAGCTACTATTTACAATTTCTCCCACAATTACATGTTAAAATGTATTTTTTTTCCCCCAAGTTGCTGTTTAAATCTAGGCAAAAGTGCTTAAAAAAATCTTTCACTATTTACAGTTAAAACCAGACCACATGAATGCTCAGGACATCTTACAGAGACTCTCCGCCAGGGCTTCCGAAGCTTCTAGTAAACGCAGTGGGGCGGCTCTCAGCTCTGACGCAAGGCACCTGGAGGCTCAGGAACTTGCCTTTAGCATTGCCATCTGATTGTTAAACTTAATTCATGAAGACCCACATCTGAATAAAACTGCTTAATAAATACCTGATTTTTTTTTCCCTCAGGGCTTGACTGTCACTCACTGGGTGGTCATGTCCCCCCTGTGTGCCCTCACGAAGCTTCCCACTCACCACACATATCCACATGAGTAGCTTGGTTTCTTTTCTGTGAATACCACAGGAAAGCACACACTCCAATAAGTCTGACTTGCTGTAAAATGAAGGTTGCTTCTACCAGACAGGCCCAACCTCTCTTTGACAATGTCACAAAAATTAAGCACCACATTCTCATCAAAAGACTACACAAATGCACCAGAATTTTAGAATGGGTGTGTTACAAGGGGTGGAAAGGGGAGGAAGGAAAAGAAAAATGATCCGATGGAGAACTGGCACCAATGAAGGAATAAAAATCATAGCAACCTGTTGAAAACGTTTGACTCTTGGACTTTCAAATTAAGTACAGGCCCCTCCCCACATGAGAATAAGTTGGGGGGGGGGGACCAGGGAGGCATGCACCATTGTCCGATGTGGAGATCTAGGAATAAGGACAGATGTGTTAACTGTTGTTACACTGGCTCGCTGAGCTCCCGAAGGACCCCACCTGACCCAAGAGTCAAGAAAGTTCCAGCACAATACTTACAGCACCAGGTTCCCTGCACAGCACAGCACCAAGCAGAGCCTTAGAGCCTGGATAGCTCGTCACAGCTTGGGTTCAACTTCTTGTTTTTAAAAATACAGTAGCCCTTTTTCAGTATCAGCATAAACTGTGGGGCGATTTTTAAAAACTGCCACTAAGATTCCTTCAGCCCAGTATTCATTGGCTTATCAAAGTGGTGGAAAGGGCTCCCAGGAGCCTCTTGACTCTCGCTCCAGCATGAGGTGCCATCTAGCGAACCAGGACATCATGTACTTGATAAATAACGGACAGAGAGGATTCAGTGTGGAGACTAGCAAGCTTGAAGCGGTCTACTTGCAATCTGGTTTCTGGGGAGATCTACACCAGCATCTCTGGCCAGACCTGGGGGGGCTGAGGCCCACTGCCAACTGGGAAGGGACCCCAGATGTTGTGTATAGCTTTTCCCACCCTACAGAGAAGACAGAGGCTGTCCGGAGCAGTCCCTGTGCACGGGGAGGGACAGACGGATGGACCGGGGCTACCCGCTGCCCTTGGCTCGGAGGGGCAGATGGCTGAGAGAACCATCAGCTCCCAGGAGGCTGCACTGGCTGGGTAGGAACAGCACGGCTGGCCTCTCCCGTCTAGCTGCTACCATTACTATTGTCGCTTTTTTAAAAAATCCAATAAATATACATTTTAAATGGAATTTAAAACCACTCCTTTGTGAAAGGACACTATAAACTTTCTTTCCATTATTGTGATATACAAGGATAGAGTTTTAAAAACAAAGGAAAAAAAAGCCCCTCAAATAAGGGGAAAAATAAAACATGGAGATATAAATATTAAGATCACGAAAAAAAAATCACCCGACAGCCGTAGTTTCTTCTTCAAAGTGCTGGGGAAGTAGGAAAGGGAGGGGCGGGTCAGTTCTGAGGTTTGGACCATAAATACATATATATGATAGGCATATCCATATATGTAGATATAGAAAGACTTCTGCACCCCCAACCCGCCCCCAGGTGTGAGGGCAAAAGCACCACAGAGGCAGCTCGGGCGGGCCCGACGCTGAGGTACGCTGGCTCCTGGCACCTAGATCCAGCGGCTGTAGGGGCCAGTGACCTTTGTGTAGGCATAAGAGGACACGGTGACCGCCGAGTCTGTGGGCATGGCCAGTGCCTGCCGGGTGGGGACAGCCCTCTTCTTCTCCTTGTTCTGGGACTCTGCAATGATAGCGCCCCCCCACTTGCGCTTCTTCCCATACAGCTTGGCCTCCTGTTGGCCCAGGCCCAGCCTTGCAGCTTCCTCCTGCCGCGCCCGTGCCCGCTCTGCCAGCTGCTTCATCTTAGCCTCCCAGAGGGCCAGCCCGTGATTGGGCTGGTTGAGGTTCTTGTGCTGGTAGAAGACCAGCGAGATGCGGGTGGGATGGAAGCGGTTGGGCTTCTTGAGCGGCGTGGTGGCATGCAGCTCCCGCCGGGCGCACTCGATGAGGATGGAGCCATGGGCAGGGGCCACGGCCACGCCACCAATGTTCTCATCCAGGAAGTTGTGTTCACTGTCTGACCACAGCTCCTCTTCTTCCTCCTCCACCACTGGACCACCCTTCTCTTCCTTCACCACCCCTTTGCTGGGGGGCTCCTCAGCCGTCCCTTCCTCCAGGCTGAAGGGATCCCACAGCTTCTCCTCTGACTTCAGGGCCCCAAATAGCTTCTCACTGGAGCCCAGGGGCATACCGAAGGCCTGCCAGGCTTTATCCAGCTGGCTTGAGCTGGAGGTAGGAATCCTTGCCTCCTCCCCTTTCATGGGATTCCACAACTTGTCTTGAAACCCAGGACCGCCTTTCAGCGCAGCGTTGAAATCTGCTCCCCCTACTCCCCATGGCTTCTCAGTCAGACCGGGCCCAGCCAAGGCCGAGGAGCTGTTCCCAAACTTGCAGGGGCTCCATGGTTTGCCTCGCAGCCGTCCTCCAGGATGGGGGGTTGACGGCTGCCCCTCACCAGGAAACAGCCCCCACTGGCCATCTGGGAAGTGTGCTGGGGTCAGGCAGCTAGCTCCAAAAGAATTAAGCTTGTCAGATCCAATGGCAGGGCTCTCCCCTCGAGGGAACATACCCCAGCCGCCACCTACACTGTTAGTCCTCTTGGGTGACATGCCTGAGCCTCCTGAGTACTGCCCCCAAAGGTGATTGGGTCCCCCATTCTGAGATGCTTCGGGCAAAGGTGTTTTGCCCATCTTTCCAGAGTCTCTGGGTACAGATTCAGCCTGAGCCAGTGGGTCTACTGGCTCTTGCTTGATGGATCTGTTATAGCAGTTGGAGCTTTGAGCAAAGGGAGAGGGGTCCCTGGATGCCGGGTGGAGCTGGGGAGCCTTGGGAAGTAGATAATCCTTGGGACCTGGGTAAGCAGGCTGCTGGTGGTGAGGAGCAGGGTGGTGGGTATCTGTGGTCACAGCCTGGCCAGGCAGCTCGGCAAACTCAGCACCACCGTAGGCCGGGCTCAGGCTGTTGTGCAGAGCGTGGAGGTCTGGCTTCTTCTCAAAACTTCCATTGCTCCCACCGTGTCCCCAGGCACCAGGACCCAGGAACTGGGAGGGAAAGACGGGGTTGCTGGATGGAAAGCCATAGTAGCTGAAGGAGGGAAGAGCATACTTGGCGTGGAAGCCATTGACGGAGGCCAGGCTGGGCTGTGCATAGTGGGAGTGGTAAGAATACACACTGCTCATGCTGTAGGGATCTGAGGGCCGGCAACTGCCCAGCACCGAGTAGCTCTCCACCACCGCGTTGCTGCTGTACTTGAAAGAGCTGAAGTGGTTCTGTGGCTCCACCTTCAGGGAGGGCTTCAGGCTTTGCTGGGACAACCCACCCTTCAAGGACAGGCCTACAAAAGCAGAAGGCAAGGTGTGAGGTGTAGGGCTTGGGACCTGATCTCCCTCTGTCCTTGAGATGGGTCTTGTCAGGAGAGGCAGGATGGGTGAGTGCTGAGCCTGCAATTCTCCCTAGGTACTCCTAAGCTCAGGCCCCAGTCCTGGGGGTGCGGTGTGCAGTTCATGTGGCTCTTGCAGTATTACCTCTCCACGTTAAACTCAGTTTTCACTAAAGCAAACTCCATTCCCATATACTGGTGAGGAGAAATGACAGCTGCCTACAACCCTGCTGCCCACCCTGGGCCCTGGTGTAATGTTCTATTCCCCAGATGAAGAGGGCATGTGAGCGCAGTGGAGGGGAATCCAAAGGCTCATTCCCTGAAGATAGTTTTGTACTCACTTGCCCAAGTGATTCCACTGTGTTACCTTTTTTCCTTTTCCTTTTGTGGTACTGGGGCTTGCACTCAGGGCTTCATGCTTACTAGGCACTTTGCCACATGAACCATGCCCTCTAATCCTTTATGCTTTAGTTATTTTGTAGATGATGTCTCAGATTTTGACCAGGGCCAACCATGAGCCACATCCTATTATCTATGGCTCCTAGGCATTAACCACAGTGCCTGGCTTATTGGTTAAGATAGGGTCTCCCTATCTTTTTTCCCCAGACTATTCTTGAACTGTGATCTTCTCATTTCTACTTCCCAAATAGTTGGGTGTTTTGAGAGACTGTGCCACCACACTAGGCCCTATCAGGTACCTTTCTGACACAGTGGCTCAGGGGCCAGAGGACTTTCTGCCTGAGTAGCCAGCATGATGTAGGAAGGAGGGATGGATGAGGTAAGACCCCTGGAAGATCTGACCCATGCCTGTCCTGGTTGTGTTCTCTCTACACACCTGGGTCGGTGGGGACCCCAGCCAGCTCCAGGGCCTCTTGCTTGATCTTCTCGGGGGTGCTCAGTTTCTCCTTCTGAATCTTCTTCTTCTCAGCTGCTGCCTTCCTGGCTTCCAGCTGCCGCTGGCGGCATGACTTGGCAGGCTCTGGCAGGCGCCGGACCTCGCGAGGGAAGGCCGTGAGCACCTGGATGGCCCCACTGCTCACCTTGGCATTCTGGTTCTCCTCACTACCAAACTCATCCGTGTTGGCCATCTTGTAGAGCGGGAGCACATGTAGCTGTTCATCCTCAGGAATCTGGCCCACGCAGCGATTGTCTTCCTTAGTCAGGGTGCACACCTGTCCCACAAAAGGAGAAGTCATGGGGCTGGGGGCCACGGTGGGAGGGAGGGATCTGAGTCCTCACACATGTGACCTCTTTCCCCACACAGCCCCACTTCCAGCCATTCACCTAGTCCTACGACTTCCTAGAGGTTCTGAAAAGCAACAGTATCAGCAACAAGTAACAGTCTGTACTGTAGCTTTCATAGTATCTTACTGTCCTTAGTGCTGCTGAGAGGGGCTGTGATGGCTGGTAAAGTCAATGCTGATGAGAGCCTGGGCCGGGCTAGGAGAGCTCTTCCACCTTGCAGCCCCGCATTGCTGCCACTGCACATGTCACCTAGCTGAGCCTCAGATCTACCTTCGCTTTTTTTTTTTTTTGTTGGTCGTGGGGCCTGAACTTTGGGCTTGGGCGCTGTCCCTCAGCTCTTCAGTTCAAGGCTAGCGCTCTACCACTTGAGCCACAGCGCCACTTCCGGCTTTTTTCTTTTTGCTTATGTGGTGCTGAGGAATCGAACCCAGGGCCTCATGCATGCAAGGCAAGCGCTCTACCACTGAGCCACCTTCCCAGCTCCAACAAGTATATTTTCTTATGCACTAAATATATTTGATATGATTTAAGATCTACATAGTATTGCTTTTTCTATCAATGTGCTAGTTTACTTAACTAATCCCTTATTATACATTCATACTTGTTTTCAAATTTTCCCTACCCTAACAATATTTTTCAAACTCTCCTTTGAACTACATTTCCTAAGATACTTTATTTCTTAGGTCTGTGACGCAAACCTGCTATGTACTGCCAAACTGCCCTCCAAAATGATTCAGTTTTCTACTTATTCAATGAAACATGTTTCAAATTTTTATATTTTTGAAATTAATTTTTTTTTGTTGTTGGCTTCTTGGCCTCAGGGCTTGGGCACTGTTGCTGAACTTTTTCACTCAAGTCTAGTGTTCTACCACAGTAAGTCACAGCTCTACTTCCAGTTTTCTGGTAGTTAATTGGTGGTAAAAGTCTCATGGACTTTCCTGCCTAAGCTGACTTTGAACGGTGATCTCAGATCTCAGCCTCCTGAGTAGCTAGAATTACAGGCTTGAGCCTCTAGCACCAGCTACAATTAATTTCTTTAAAAATACTTTGCTCACTACTATTGTTTGCTTTCTCAATAGGTCTTGCTTCCCCTCTCCCCCAAATATATTTTATTCTCTTATTTTTATTTTTCTGGGTTTTTTGTTTTTGTTTTTTTGCAAGTGTTCTAACACTTGAGTTTGAGCCCCCAGCCAAACTCTTGTTTCTGTACTCTTGATACTCTGGTCTTGATCTTGGAAGAAGGGCTCCATACAGAGCTATCTAATTCTTGGAGATGGAAAGCTGTATACATAGCCATAGCAATTGTGGGTATAAATCCATATCCTTGATACAGATAGCTTGAACTAAGAAAAGTATACAGATACAGTATATAGATACAATGTGATCTCCAGCTGTTTGAAGAGATGGTCATCAAATGCTAACTGTAGTTATCTATAAGATTTTAGGTAAATCTTTTTTTAAATATCATTTAAAAGTTGGTACTTTTTTTTCTCTTCAGCTCAAGGCGAGTGCTCTACCACTTGAGCCACACTGCCACTTCCTGTTTTCTGGTGGTTAATTGGAGATAGGAGTCTCACAGACTTTCCTACCCAGGCTGGCTTTGAACTGTGATTCTCAGATCTCAGGCTCCTGAGTAGCTAGGATTATAGGCGTGAGCCACTGGTGCCTGGTTAAAAGTTGGTACTTTTAATGACAGTTATTAGTTAAAAGACAATAGTTCTCATTTGGGGGGGGGGGGGAGAGAAATTACATTAATTTACACCAAATCCCAGAAGCTTTGAGATTCAAGCAACCTCATTGTTCTCGCTCTCTCCTATGTCCCAGTGCCTTCCCTTGGCTTTTTTCCTCACCCTGACACCTCTCCTCTCTATGTATTCCAGCTAGATACCCGCACACAGCCTGTAGACAGGAGCCTGATCCATCTTGCTTCTTAGTCTTGAACACAGAGACAAGACGGGGTAAAAATGAAATCCTAGGATGGGAACATCAGTCCCCACAGGATTAAAAGCTATAAGCGGAATCTAACAGCCACCTTCCCCCTTTCACAGATTCCTGCAAGAGAAGATCCTCCCTACATAGGATCTCATTAAAAAGCAGAGCAGAACACTGGCATCACCACCTCTTTGAGAGATTCCCACCATCTATCCTCCTTCTGCACTCACTTCCCACCTGAGCTTTGTGAACACTATGTTCTTCAAATCTCCCTCCTCTACACCCCACCTGCACACCTAGTAGGTACATCAAACTGAATTTTTGACTTCTCACCCCCAAACCTGGTCTTCTCATGATGCTACTGTTCTGTGAATGGCATCCAGACCCTTCAGCTGTTAGAGCATCTCCTATCAATTTATCCCTTCATTTCCTTCTCATGGTCTTTAGCACTACTATAGCAGTCACTTGACATGGCTAGAAACTTTGTTCCCCTGATTCTCCAGCATCTAGACAGGGCTTGTGGTCTGTTGATACTTAATAAATGTTTGTTTAATGTTTCAAAGACTACTTTGTAAGACCAAGTGTCCACTAAGATCTAGAAGTATACTTTACCTCACCAGAGACTTGAGGTGAGCAAGCAGCCTCATTATCCAGAGTTCATCTAGTACAGAATCCATCCCAGAACTGTCCATTTATTCCCTGAAGGTTTTCTCCTATTTGATCAGACACCTCCCAGAGAGTCTGGCCTCCATGTTCCTCCCTAGTCTAAGTCCATTTTCTATACAAATCACAGCTGGGTTTCCCTCCCAAGATCACCCTACAGGTGGTGCGGTGAACAAACACAAGATTCCTTACCACTGTGCACCCATTGTAGAGGTTATGCTGGTCTTTGTGGGCGTGGGCACAGAAGTCCATGCAGGCAGTAACCCCGGAGAAGGGTCGTCCTTCCTTTAGTCCCAAGCGGCAGTCTATTGCTATTTCCTCATTGGTCACCTGTGAGAATGGCCAAGGAGAGTTGTTTATAGAATCTGACGTGAAATGCCTTGATTCTGCACTTGGGGAGTTAGGTGAGGGAGGTTAAAGATCACAGTTGTCTTGAACTTAGAGATTTTTCTGATTCAAAAGCCCCAGCTCTCAGAGTTACTTCTAGTCCTGCAGTTATCATTTTCTTCTACATTAACTCAAGCACCTCTTGTCTCATTTGGGAGATGCAAGGGTAGGGGAGCTTTGTCTTTCATAGTGGAAACCAGATCAGAGGAGGGGGAGGACTATTAGGAGGAGGCCATGTAGAGAAGGGTTTTGAGAGGTGGTGTGGGATGCAGTTAAACCTGGAATTAAAAGGAAAAAAAAAAAAGAAGAAGGCTGGGCACTGGTGGCTCATGCCTATAATCCTAGCTACTTAGGAAGCTAAGATCTGAGGAATGCAGTTCAAAGCCAGCCTGTACAGGGAAATCCATGAGACTCTTATCTCTGATCACCAAAAAGCCAGAAGTGGAGCTATGGGTCTAGTGGTAGAGAGCTAGTCTTGAGCTGAAAAAGCTCAGGGACAGCATCCAGGGCCCTGAGTTAAAGCCCAGGACTGAAAGAGGGGTGGGAGAGTCTTGAGCTAGGAATTAGTAACTTACTCCTGTAATCTTAACTACTTGGGAAACTAAGAACAGGAGACTCAGCCCAGGCAAGAGAGTTTGCATGATCCCTTCTCAACACGCCTGTCATCCCAAGCTATATGGAAATCTGAGACTGGGAGAACCATGGTTCCAGGTCAGCTCAGGAAAAGTTCACCAAGAGCCCATGGAGGAAAATTAGTCATGGTGGCAGGTGCCTATAATTCCAGCAATGACAGGAAGCCTAAAGTAGTTGGATAGTTGCTCAAGTACATGCCTAAGGCAGGAAGCAAGACCCTATCCTAAAAATGTCCCATGAAATACAGAGCTAAAGGCATGGCTCATGGTACTGGACCAGTCTAACAACTGTAAGGTGCTGAGTTCAAACATCATAACTATAAAAAAAAGGAAGGGGGTTATTTAAAAAAAAATAATTACACCATTCCCTCACTTCTGGGCTTGAGCACAAAGAAGCACACATTTCCACTTCGCAACTTCAGGGAGCCTGGGTGGAGATGGCATGTGGTCTAGGCCCTAGTACCTGGTTCTGATAGGCCTGAGGGGCCAGCTGCTTGTAAAGGGGAGCGACTTCAGTGGCCAGGCCCTGGAAATTCTTCCGGAGCACTTCTTCCTGCAGAGGGAAAAGTCACACACATTCAGAGTGGCCCTGTCTGGAAAACTTCACTTGTTGAAAATGAACTCCATTCATCCCCATCCCCAGGTATCACTAGGAAAGTGGAGGTTAACTGCCATTGGGATTTTAGTGTTTCCTCTACCATATCCATTTTAATGTTGGAGACTCAACAAGAAAATTCATTGCCAGAAAGGCCCAGTCATCTTGACTACTGGGCTACCATTCCTCAGAGCCATGGCCCAGTTCAGGCCATGATTCATAAAGCAGGCTCTTGTTTCCAGTGCTGAATGCTCTGCCACAAGTGTGGTATATGGTAGGCAGGGAAAAAAACAACAGAGTAATAGGTAAGAGTCTTCTTTCCTATGCTAAAGACAAGAAAGCAGAAGCAGACATGAGCTCTTTGCTATGAACGCTATAGCTGGCCTGGACCAGAGCCTGTCATGAGCCAGTTGTTCTGGGGAATCCCAAAGCTTTAGCCACCAGACTGACATACTATTTGTATTACTCAAAAGACACATATGGCTATTGAAATGTATATTAATTTTAACTAAATTAAATTATAAATTCCATCCCTCGATCTTACTAGTACATTTCATATGCTCAGTAATGTGTGTCTCCTGTAGGGGACGGGACAGCAGAGAATGTTTCCATTACAGAGAATGCTCCACCAGATGGCGCTGCTCTAGACAAAGCAGCAGCACCTCACTACCCTTAGCAGAGTTGGGTCACCTCACAGGATGGCAGCATGGCTTGCAGAGCCTCCTAAGAGGCCATGAGCACAGGTAATTGAGAGTTTAAGAAGACAGCAGGAGGAAGAGACAAAGGCAAGTAGGCAAGATTAGAAATGAGAATTGAGAGTGATGGCTTAGCGGTCAATTTAGTAGTGACAGGGATTGGCTACCTCCCTGGCTGCTGCCTCCAGCACAGAGGGCTTGAAGCCACATAGCCAGAGATGAGATTTGTGAGCTCTAGGGAAACAAAGCCTGGGATGGAATCCTGCCTTCACCTTGACCAAGCCACAGCACTTGTGCAAGCTACCTGTTCCTCAGTAAAGTGAAGAACAGCGTCCAGTTCACTGGGAGATCCTAGGATGAACTCAAATACCTGTGAGGTGATCAGCACTGACCGTATCCACCATATAGCAGGTACACAGGAAATGGTGGCTGTCAGAATCAAGCTAGTATCTGTGACAAATTAAGCGAGTGGCTTTTCATTCCTGGTAACTCTTTGGTGTTGGTGACCATGGTGTTTCTCTAGTCACTGAAGCAACTGCATTTGCTGCTTCATATGGAAAGTGGATCCTATCTTATAAAATTCTTTATCAGGCTGAAACCCAGAGGTTTGTGGTTTGAAGAAAAGTCTGTGAGGCTCCATCTCCAAAATAACTAGCAAAAGTAGGACTGGAGATGTGGCTCAAATAGTACAGTGTCAACCAAACATGCTGAGCAAGCAAACAAGAAGCCCTGAGTTCAAACCCCAGTACTGCAAAGGAAAAATGTATTCTATCAAATTACACTTACTTAAGCTCAGAAAATAAACATCGAGTGTTTTTCTTTGTTGTTGTGTGTGTGTGTGCAGGGGAGGGGGGGGGGGAAACAAAAGCTCTATGTTTGAAAATGCTTGTTAAAGAAGAACAAAGCTGGAGAACAGTTGTTTTCATGGGCTGGGGAGAGGAGGCCCAGTAGATGCTCCTGCCCTACAGGAAAGTGGGAAGCCCTTTTGGTGCTAGGAGCTTATAATATTGGAATGTAAGGCCAGTCTCATGATGTTTGCCTACATCCTAGCAAAGGGACCCAGCACCTCAACTCCTCAGGATCACAGGCAAAAGAGAGGGAGGCTAGAAGTGACATGGTAAGAAGCCTAACACTTGTGCCTGCTTTGTGTCTGGAATTCTGAGGTCACTTCTTGGGATGGCCATTCAACATGAACGAGAAAGGAGAAATGGTTGAGGCTTATGGCTCCTACATCCTTAGTAGAGCCTATAGTAGAGACTTGGGGGCCCTAGTCCCATTGTCATGGGGATAGAGAAGAGGTCCTATGGGCAGTGACCCAGGTGAGGCGGCTACAGAGAGAAAGTGCATGCCTAGCATCTATATTGTATGGATGCCAGCCCAGACTAAGGTCCAGGATCCAGCATTGAAACAGTGAGGCCCTATTATGACCAGATAGATGCCCTGCAGGTGGCAAATCATAGGGACTTCAGACAGTCCTGCAAAGACTCAAGAGGATGACGCATGGACTAAAGGCCCCCTTTTTTTGCTGTACCTCCTGCACTCAAAAACATGTCTCAAAAAGAAATCTGATCCTTTGACAGGACCACCTTCTGATAAGCAATTTGAATACGTAAGTTTTCAGAGTAGTTACCCTAAAGTAGTTGATTAAACTGAAAAACCTGAGGTAGTAAGTTTAAGTTTGTATGCCTCTATACACCTTGTTTCACAGGAAGATAAAGTCAAACAATTTACATCTTCTGCACACCTGTGGTGTACCAATCTTACCTCCCATTTGACTACTGAGGACTCCAGGGTGAGAAAGGATGAGAGGGAGGCGCTTGTGTTTCCAGCACAGCTCCACTCACCTCTTTGGGATTGTCCCCTGCGAGACGGAACTTGCGAGGTGTCTTACTTCGTGCATACTTGCAGCCGTTGAAGTACATGCTCCAGGAACAGCCAAAGGAGAAGGAGGCACCACAGGTGTTAGGGTCTTTGCCTTGGCAGGCGCAGGTCCGACTGCAATGAACATCATAGGGTAGGTGTATAGATGTGATATCTTTTTGCCAGACTGTTCTTCCTCCCTTAAGAGGAAGAACTACCCTCTCTTTCCTGACCCCAAATTCCTTCCTCAGATTTCTTTTGAGGTAGAAAGCTAGCTCTCAGCAGCCTGTTAATCCTCAGTCCTAAATTGCTGGTCTAACCAGAGTTTATTGTTGGGAAAAGTGTATGGGTTGAGATAAGGCAAGGAATCTAGTGAAAGCCTGAAGGTTCATGCTTTGCCTTAACTGTAATATCCTGGCCAGCTCCAATGTAGTCCAGCCAGCAGGAATGACATGAGACCTAAAGCTTGAATATGCTTGCTCCTTTAGGTCAGATACTGATGGGTCTTAAAACTAATAGACACGTTACAATTCAATAATCAACAAAATCCAGAAATCAAAATGTCCTTCAATTGGAGAATGGATAAAGAGCAACAAATCCACATAGATGTGGATACTGACATGTTAACCAAGTAAATTTCAGAAACGCCATGCTCAATGTAAGAAGTCAGGTTCAGGGACTATATCGCAATATGATCCCAGTTATGTAGCATTCTTGTGAGAACAAACCAATGGAGGCAAGAAACAAGATGGGTGGTTGGAAAAGGGTTGCTAAAGGGTCCTGTGGGAGTGATGGAACATCATCTTGACTGTGATGATAATGACTATAAGTGCTAAAACTCTCCCAAGTACCTACCTAAAAGGCTTAATTGAAAGTAAATGTACCTTACCATAATAAAAGGTAGGTTTCATAAATATCAAGACCATATATTTGGGGAACACATATACTTTTTTGCTAACATCAGTTAAGACTCAATAGTGGGCTGGGAAGATGGCTCAGTGGTAGAGCACTTGCCTTGCATGCATGAGGCCCTGAGTTCGACTCCTCAGCACCACATAAGCAAAAAGAAAAAAGCCGGAAGTGGCGCTGTGGCTCAAGTGGTAGAGCACTAGCCTTGAGCTGAAGAGCTGAGGGACAGCACCCAAGCCCAGAGTTCAGGCCCCATGACCGGACCCCCCACCCCAAAAAAAAAAAAAAAAGACTCAATAGTGATCTGGAGCCAGAACTCACCCTGGGATCTGTCTATGGGTGAGCAACTGTTCCTCAGCCTCGGTCCTAGCTCTGCAGAACACACGGCTTCCAGGGAGGAGTGAGCCAGCCCAGGGCTGTAAAAATTCCTGGACCTGCTGCCTGGGCCTGGTGGAGGACCCTGGTTCCCTGACACTGCCCACCTACTGCCACCCTGCTACGTACTCATCGTTGAGGCCACATCTTCGGCTTGTGGGGTTGCCATACTTCCGGAGGGTGTCAGTGAGCTCCTGGTAAAGGGTGTCTCCAAGGCTGCGGGGGATGCCTTCCCAAGCCAGGATGAGAATGACGATCACAGCATTCTGGCAGTGGTGACCTGCTCGGTGCCGCACCAGGCACAGAAGCTTCTCCTCCAGTGTGTGCCTGCGGATCACCTGCAAGGATGGAGGGTTCAGTTAGCTGCAGGAGCTATGTTTCCTTCTTGGTGTCATCCACCTGTCACTGCCACACAGACTTGGGGTGCCCAGTCTTTCAGGATAGTGTCCCATGGGTGCCACATCCTGCCAACAGCAACCACACAGATTAAGAAGACTGATATAATCACAGGGCAACAACAAAAACCCCACAGTTTCTTCAAAGAATAAAATAAAAATTAGCAGCAAGTCTAAGATACTGATGACTGGCCACAGACATAGGAGTAAAATTATGCAAGATAAATTCCTAAATCAGAAATATATAGTCAGAGATTGTTTTCTTTGTATTTTTGTTTTTGCATTACTAGGATTTAAACTTGAGCTTGCTAAGTGGCAGGTCCTCTCCACTGCCATGTCTCTAGCCCCTTTGTTGCTAGTTAGTTTTGAGATAAGGTCTTCCTTTCTTCTCGGTCATGTGCCCGGGCAGGGTAATGATCTGTCTATCTTAGGTTTCCCAGCATAGCAGGGTTATGCCCACCACTCTAGCTCTTTCTGTTGAGATGAAGTTGCGAGGGCTCCTCTGCATGAGCTGTCCTGGCACTAAGATCCTCCTGACCTCAGTCTCCCAAGTACCTAGTATGACAAGATTACATCAAAGAAACCTTGATAGTATCCTAAAGCATTTGCAGAGAAAATGTGGTACATCTGTGTGGTTTTGGTTAAAAAAGCAAGGGCATGGCACTTGGGAGAACAGTTTGTGGTTCTTCAAAAAACAAAACACAGCTATGGGAAATAATGCTGCGATAAACCCAGTTGTGCTGGTAGCTTTAGTATGGTCTTGTGATTGTTTGGGTAAATGCCCAAAAGTGGGATTGCTGGGTCATACGGGAGCTCTATGTGTAGTCTTTTGTGGAACTTCCATACTGCTTTCCAAAGTGGAACAAGTTTACACTTCCACCAACAATGCAGTAGGGTTCCCTTTTGGCCACATCCCCTCCAGATGCCCCTCAGTAGATGAATGGATCAAGAAAATGTAGTATATATATACAATGGAATTCTATGCCTCCATCAGAAAGAATGACATTGCCCCATTGGTTAGGAAATGAAAAGACTTGGAGAAAATTATATTAAGTGAAATAAGCCAGGCCCAAAGAAACATAGGTTCCATGGTTTCTCTTATTTGCAATAACTAGTATATGTCTGAGACAAGCAGAAAAGGTAAAAAACTATGTACATATGACCAGATAAGATGATGCTAAGTGAAATGAACCCCACGATAGGGACACAAGGGTTTTTTTTTTTTTTTTTATCTTTCTTGCTGTTGTTTTTAATGTATTTTTAATGTACTATGTGATTTTTTTTTTTGGTATATTCTCCCCCATGGTATAACCCGTTTTCACTGTACTTGATTCTGGTGCCCTGCATCTTCTTTATACATTTTTCTAATTTGGGGAGGGGAAGGGAAATAACAAAATGCTGAACTAAGGATACAGGTTGACCCATTGTAACAATGAGATGTACAAGACACTATGTTGAAAACGAACTTTACAACTTTGCGGGAGGCGGTGGGGAGGGAGGAGTTAAGGAGGTGGGAAGGGATGGTAGGGGAAAAACAAAGGAGGAGGTAACAACACTTGACAGGAAATGTACTCATTACCTTACTCATGTAACTGTAACCCCTCTGTACAGTATCTTTACAATAAAAAATATATACAACCCCCCCCCACCGAATTAGCATATAATCCAGCAATTTTACACCTTGGAATATTACCAAAGGAACTGGGTGTCGAAACTCTATGGTATGATTCCACTAACATGAGGTACCTAAATATGACTCGGAGAGATGGAGAGAAAGTAGATTAGGGTTGTCAGGAACTGAGGAAGAATGAGTTCCTGTTAATGGGACAGAGCTTCACATAGGGATGATTAAAAAAAAGTTTTGTAAATAGACTATGCTGATGCTGCAACAATGTCAATGTACTTAATGCTACTGACTTGGACACAAACTAATTGAAATAGTAAATTTTACATTGTACATGTTACCATAATTAAAAAAAATGCTACACTCATCAGGAACCAGTGGTTCTTGCCCATAATCTTAGCTACTCAGGAGGCTAATATCCTGGTTCAAAGCCAGCCTGGGAGGGTAAACCCAAGAGACTCTAACTAGCACAAAGCCAGAGTAGAGGTGTGGCTCAAGTGGTAGAGCACCAGCATTGAACAAAAACAACTAAGTGAAAGCTTGAGGCCTTAAGTTCAAGCCCTAATATTAGCACAACAAAACAAACAAAAAGATATATTCAAAACACTGAATTGTGTACTTTAAAGGGCTGAATTGTGAGGTATGAGAATTACATCTCAAAAGCGGTTTGGTTTTTGGTGTTGGTCATGGGGCTTAAACTCAGGGCTTGGACACTGTCTCTGAGCTCTTTCACTCAAGGTGAGTGCTCTACCACTTTGAGCCACCATGCCACTTCTGGTCTTCTAGTGGTTAGTGGGAGATAAGAGTCTCATGAACTTTCTTGTGAGAGCTGGCTTCAAACTGTGATCCTCAGATCTCAGCCCCTTGAGTAGCTAGGATTGCAGGAATGAGCTCCAAGTGCCCAGCAATAAACCCATTTTTAAGCCAGGCACTAGTGGCTTACACTGTAATACTAGCCACTCAGGAGACCTTAGATCTGAGGCTCTGGGTTCAAAGCCAACTTGCGCAGACAAATCCATAAGACTCTTAATCTTCAATTAGCCAGCAAAAATCTGGAAGTACAGCTCAAACAGTAGAGCACCAGCCACAAGTTAAAAAGCTAAGCAAGAGCATGATATCAAGTTCAAGCTTATGAGTACTGGTGTTTGTGCCCTCGCATACTCACAACACTGCTCTGCAGCTAGGAGCCAGGTGCTCTCTTTCCAGTTTTCATTCTTTCTCCAAACAAAAAGATGTTATCAAGGGGCTGGGAAGGTGGCTCAGTGGTAGAGTGCTTGCCTTGCATGCATGAGGCCCTGGGTTCAATTCCTCAGCACCACATAAGAAAAAAGAAAAAAGCCAGAAGTGGCGCTGTGGCTCAAGTGGTAGAGAGCTAGCCTTGAGCTGAAGAGCTGAGGGACAGCGCCCAGACCCAGAGTACAGGCCCCACGACCAGACCCAAAACAAACAAACAAACAAAAAGATGTATCAAGGTCCTGGGAACTGGGTAAGGGGATGGTTGAATCTTCTCAAAGGGCCCCAAGTAATGTATGATCAATATGGGGTGACCCTGAGGCTAAAGGACAGGTAGCAGGTGGTTTCTGTGCTGTGTGGCTTAGAAGACTGGGTATGGTAGTGGTGCTGAGTGGTGAGATAACAAGGAGCATGCTGAGATCAAGCTACTTGGGAACACCTAAGTAGCTATTTCTAGTAGTTCTCAACAGGATGAGTCTGGAGATCAGGAGCTGCCTGGGCTGCAGATGGACATGCTAAACTCTGTCACTTAGCCCATGTAGAAGGCTTAGAAAGTGGCATCTGGGCACAGACAATAGTTATGAATGAAATAGCCAGATGCAATGCCAGGAGTGGTGTGGACACAGCAAGGTGAAGGCATCTGCTCATCAGAAGTGAGCTTGGCTTCTATCAACTGCCTGGGGGGAATGCAGCTAGTTGGTGCAGATAGTTTGTTCCATTTGCAAGAAAAGCGAAAATGCAAACTTAAATGATGTGAGCGCCACATTCCATCTTTTGACAAAATATACAAAATTCACAATTTAAAATGCCTATTTTAGTGGTATTAGGTACATGGACACTGTTTTGCAACTACAATGATTTCTGTAAGTTTCTGAAGCAAAAGCTTTATTCATGAAACAATTACTCCATCCTTCCTTCCCATGACCCCTGGCAACCAACTGTTCTACTTTCTGTCTCCATAAATTTGACTCCTCCAAGTACCTTGTATGAGTAAAATTATATGACATTTGTCCTTTTATGACTGGCTTTTTAAATTTTAGGTCTGAGACTGGTATTTGAACTCTGTCCCTAATGCTTTCGCTCATTGGCTAGCATTCTACCAACTGAGCCAAGCCGCCACCCCTATGACTGACTTTCCTTAGTCCATTCATGTAGCATGTGTCAGAATTTCCTGCAAATTTTTTTTTCCTGCCAGTCCTGGGGCTTGAACTCAGTCAGGGCCTAGGTGCTTTCCCTAAGCTTTTGTTCTTAAAGCTAGCCCTCTAATTTGAGTCACAGTTCCACTTTTGGCCCCCCCCCCCCCCCCACTCCCCTCATAGCTAATTGAAGAGTCTCATGGACTTTCCTGCTCAAACTAGCTTGGAATTGTGATCCTCAGATTTCAGCCTCCTGAATAGCTAGGATTACAGACCAAGGCACCACCGGGACCTGGCTCCTACATTATTTTTTTATTGCTATTATAAAAGTGATATACAGAGGGATTTCCTGCGAACTTTTAAAAGATACTTTCCATGCTAAAGAACTGGTCAGGAACTATTGCTTTGGACAAGGCAATGACAGCACTTCTTTCTGAATCACCAATCGTATCATTTTAAGAACTGCATTCTGGGAACCCGGAACACACAAATAAAGTCAGCTATTACATCAGAACTCTGTGTAGCTGCCTGATTTCATGCAGACTGGGCTGGACATAGGGGTGGTCAACATTATCTGTGGACACTAATGGTTTTCAGACCATGGTTTTCCAGGTGCTATGGTCAACCTATGCTCGTGGTTTGGGGCAGTCCACAGGCTGGCTACCCTCAGGGGCATGTGTTCAGGCCACACAGCAAGACCTAACCAGCCAAAGCTGTGACTGAGGCCATGTCATTCTGTTTTCTCAAGTGGCAAAATAAATGTCACAGATTAATGACAGCTCTCTCTCTGGCCACAGTGTTACAGCCCATGGGTATATCAAAAACCTAGAAAACAAAAAAGGGGCACTGCTCCATGCCTATACACCTTGGAACCCAGAAGGAAGAAACAAAAATGTAAAAATCTAAGGAGAATGCATAATACCACCACACCCAGGCACCACAACATTTTCTGTCTGACAATCACAATATCTTACCTAGGTTCTGGGCAAGAATTTCCTGGCACTGTAACATCAGCAGCATGACACCAGCAGAGCCCAATCTACCCTCCCAGAGGGGCGTGGCTACCTTCAAATCACAAGGTACCTGCTGGCTTTCTGGGCTGATCCATTCCATTCTCACATCATTCTTCCAATGTATTTTCAGGTACCTATGATGTACCTTGACTGACTTTATCCCCTAAATCCCAATCACTGCTTTTAGCTAATAGTACTGAGGTACTGGTGGGGGTGGGGGTGTCTAAGCTACAAAAACACAGACATTAACCCTGGCTGAAAACACAACTCCTGGACCAGTGTGCAGTGACTCCACAGGAAGTGGTTCTACCCCAGGCAGGTGGATGCTGCTGCCACTTCCCCATGATCACAGAGCACTGGATAAAGTGCTTGATGCCAAGCTACCACCAAGAGTAATCTTCCCTTAAAAGCACTTCTGAGTCACTTCCCTAGCAGGTGAGAGGAGAGGGAGTATCTACTCCCTCTTAACTTCCAAAGGAAGTACAAATCGTTACAGGAGCCCTCCTACCAAAATTCACCGAGTATTTGGCAGCTGTATATCAAGCACCTCTCATTCCCAACCTGCCACACTGACAGTGGCTACAAAACAAAACAAAAAAAAACCCCAAATCCTCAGCACTATTTTCTTACCATTCAGTTTTGTGACCAACTACCTGTGTGTTCTTGCCATAAGAAAAAAAAATGTTTTCTTGTTTTATCATTAGCATGGAAATTTTCCTACACTTGCTACACATCCCCTTCTATGCATCGTCTATAAGGTTTTGGGGATCTCCATCAGCTGTTCCATCCTTGAAAGACCCTCAGGCTGTATTCTACATGTGCTCAGACTCTGTGGGATCAATGTACTGAGGATGGGATTTGTCCCTTCCAACCTTCAGCTTCCTGCCCATAATAAACATGTTCTTTCAGTCCTGGGCAGAGTCCTGCAAGTATGATCAGGAACAAAAGCTTTACCATCTACTTCTAGGTTCTGAACATACATAGTCTCTTCTTTAATGCTACCCACATAACCAGCCACTTCTCTCTTTAAGCTGCTATCTTTTCTGATGCTGGAAAGCTCTATCTATATCCTAAGGATCTTCAGTTTCTGATCCAAGATGTGAATTTCTCAAAAAAACCAAACAGAAACATCACTGTCATTCTCTTGCCACAATTATGTGACAAACACAAAGATGGGGACAATATTCGTCATACCCGTGAGTGCACTAAGTAGCAGATTCCTTTGTTGTATGTAATTCTGCAGTAGAGACTGAAAACAGTTAAAAATAGGCATGTGGCAGTTAAATATTCACATATCTATAGCCACTAAATGCAAAGATGCAGAGGACAGGGGTCTGCCAATTTAAACTAGCATGTGTGCAGACGGACAAATGCTGATGAAGGTCATCCTACCAGTCTCCTCAGAGTCAGCCATATGTGTTCACCAGCCATTGTGACTTTGCCCACATAACCTTCTCCTCACTGGGAATGCTTCCATTACTGCCCAGTCCACTTAATATGGCCCAGTGCCCATGGTGTCACACCTCCACTTTCTTGGGAATACCTAACCTGAACATCAAATCCTGCCACTCCAGTCCCTTGTTCTTGACTTCTACAGCAACATGTTTGCCTCTCCAAGTTAAACCTCATCTTTTTATGTCCCCACTGCTTTGAGGATCCATAAAGCCTAAACAGCTTGAAGATGAATATTCTGGGTTCCTTCAGAAGTGTGTGGGTATGAGCAACTTGTATACATACCCTCACTGAGTACCCAGCAGATGTTAAACTCATAGGTATTCCAAGAGCCTGGTTTCAGCAGAAGCAGATGATTAAAGAGCTACCTAGAGTGAGAAGGGAAAGCCAAGAGAACTGGCCTTTGTTTTTGGTAACTGGGATTGATGTCAATGATAAGTCTCCTTGCTGAAATGCTCAGGCTTCCTGGCAAGAAACACTAACTCAGAGGCTGGGCAGAGACAAGGTGGATCACAACCCTGTAAAGCCAGTGGCTTTGCAACATCCCTCAGGTTGGATCACAGCAGGGTAACCTTCAGGGTCCTTCCTAGGTTCCAGGAGCATAGTTACATGGAGATGGGAGAGGAGACTCCTCAGGGGCCCATTTCCTCAGAGTGATGGCAGCATTTCCAGCTCCCCATTTCCTTCCCCTTTAGCTCTGAAGCACAGACCACATGAACTAAGCAGAATGATTAACACAATTACAACAGAGATCAGTATACCAGGGACTAGCATTTAATCAAGACAAAGACAAGTAGCTTTTGCTAGGAGAAAATGACCCTAACCAAGCACTAGGCATTGGCTCCAGAGTCTCTTCATGGTGAACATGTCTGTTGCCTTCAAATACATTGACCCCTTTGCTTGTCTGAAACTTGTTCTGCTATATGAGCTCATGGGCAAAGACAGCCAGGCACATCTTGGCTGTGGAGACTTGACACTCACCCACTTGGCAATGGGGCAGCCACGGGAGCTCTTTCCCTCCTTCCCCGTGTAGATGACCTTCTCAATCCGGATGGCTTTCCCTTTCTCTCCATACCTAGAGAAGGAAACAGATGGTACCATCAGTATAGTGGAGCCACAAAGGAAAATAACCCATGGCAAGAAGGCAAGCCCATATGCATATTAATTCAAGCTTCTAGTTACTTGGGGGAACAACAGAAAGTTTAAGTTGTTATTCTGTAATCAGAGGCTCTTGAGACACAATGGGTACTTAGCAGGATCCTAGGCTGGCCTTTGCTTTTCTACCCATCTTCTGTTTACATTCATCTTTAGTCCCAGGACAGGAGGCAGTTAGGCAGAATGTCCTTGATTAGTGACATCAAGAGAATCATTTGCACTCATCCCTGCTAGCAGAGTTATCCGAGCATTCACTATTTATAAATTCAATAACACAAAAGAAAACAAATGGGGAAACCATTTACTTAACCACCTAAGTTACCCTATGAACAGACAAGACTGAGGGAGTGTTCTGGTCACACAAAAATACCAATGTCCATGTTCACCTAGACAATATTGGAGCCTTCTACATATACTCACTTCCCTGGGCCTGTCCTGAGTGCTCAAAGCCTAAGTTTTCTAACACCATCTAAGCAATGATGAAAGTATGTAACAGAGCATAACTGACTTGCCTAAGGCCACACAACTTTATCAAATACATTTTAACATCTAAGAAGACAAGTGTTGAATAGTTTTTCTTTTTTGATCAATAAACATAATATGTTTAACAGACTTTGTGTAAGTCAAGCTATCCTTATTGAGTTTGTTTTATAATGATTTTAATTTGATCATGGCACCTTATTTTAATATATTATTAAGGTGTAATGCTAGCATAGCTACTACTAAAATACACATTCTCTAATTCACTCCACTTCTAGAAATTTACATCCTCAAAAATAACCACAAATACATCAGGCTAGGGGTGTAGCTCAGTGGTACAAGAGTGGATATGATTAATCCTACCTGACTCAGAGATACACATATCTTTGTAGATGGTTAGAAAGACTGAAGGTTAACATTAAACTTTTAACGAAGTGTTCTGCAGGAGGAATAATTGCTGAAGTTTCATCCACTCCATACTTGAATTTTTTTTTTTTTTTTTGAGACAGGGTTTAGCTATGTAGCAGAGGCTGGTCTTAAACTCACTGTCCTCTTGCCTCCGCCTCCTGAATGCAGGGGTTTACAGGTGTGCCTCACTATTATAGCTGGCCTATACTTAGATTGAGTCCCTTTCTTTTATTGTTATAATTAAAAATGATAATAAAAGGGTTTTTATTAAGCTTTCTTCTTTCTAAAGATAACTAAGGACCTCAGCTAGTATTCTCCAAGGATGAAACCACGATCATTATCCATATCATCTAGAAAATTAGTAAAAGTAAGAGGCAGGCTCTAAAGTTTCATCCTTGACCCACTTGATGAGGAACTTGGTAGAGTCTAGCACTCTGTGCTTCCACAAGCCTCCTAAACTTTAAGAATCATTGCTCTAAAGCTGTGCTTCTCCAGGGTTAGCTCTGCCACTCTGATGAGATCAGTTCTCCCATAGCTCAGCAACTTGCAAGCACAGTGTTGGTTCTTTGTTTCTAGAACAAGCATTTATAGAACTCCTAGGCTGCAGAGATTCCCTTTCCAAGACAGACTGCACAAGAATGTGGGTAGTGATGCACCATTCTCAGATATGAGTTTGAAAACTGACTCATATTATCCAATTATCTGTGACACTGAGGATCCTAGGTATCTAAACATTCAAGTATGAAGTCCATAAAGAAATTGGGAGCTAGGTGCCAGTGGTTCACCCCTGTAATCCTAGCTACTCAGGAGGCTGAGATCTGAGGATCATGGTTGAAAGGCAGCTTGGCAGAAGACAGAATACACCAACTGGACCAAAAAGTGACAGATATGGAAAAATCACTCAAATTAAACCAAAGGGAAATTCAAGAGCAAGCAGATAATGCTAAAAAATTTAACCTTCGCATAATCGGAGTGGACGAAGGTGAGGAATTCCAGAGCAAGGGAATGCAACACCTATTTAACAAGATAGTCAATGAAAATTTTCCCCACCTCAAAAACGACCATCTTAACTACATCACAAAAGCTTATCGAACACCCAACAAGCAAGATCCCAGGAGAAACACTTCTAGGCACATAATAGTAACAATGATGGATCTGAATAATAAGGAAACAATCCTGCATGCAGCAAAAATGAAGAAGGAGCTATACTACAACGGGAAAAAAATTAGAATCACTGCAGATCTCTCCACACAAACAATGAATGCAAGAAAAGCCTGGGAAAGCACCATACGAGCCCTGAGAGCCAATAACTGCCAACCCAGACTGATATACCCGGCAAAGCTAGCATTCACATTCGATGGAGAACTGAAAACTTTTAATAGCAAAGAAAAACTAAATGAATACATAAACATTAAGCCAGCATTACAAAGAATTCTAAGAGGGGGGACACAACCTGAAGAAAGCAACCAGGAACTGGGACCTGCCCCAAACAGGCATTACTCAAAGTCTAACTGAGCAAGCACAGGAGGAAAGGAAAGAAGAAAAACTTAGGAAAACGGAATGGCAGGGACAACAATGCATCTCTCTATACTTTCTCTTAATATAAATGGGCTGAATTCGCCAATTAAAAGAAAACGAACTGAGGACTGGATCAGAAAACAAGACCTATCCATCTGTTGCCTTCAGGAGACCCACCTCTCAGCCAAACATACAAACAAACTCAGAGTGAAGGGGTGGAAAAGGATCTACCAATCAAATTCCCCCAATAAGAAAGCAGGTGTAGCTATCCTGATATCTGACAAAATAAACTTTTCATTAAAATCAGTACAGAAAGACAAGGACGGACACTACATATTAATAAAGGGAACAATCCAAGAGGAGGATATAACCATCATCAACTTATATGCCCCAAATATTGGTGCACCCAGATATGTTAAACAAATGCTCTCAAACTTACAGAATAAAATAGATCCCAATACGATAATACTAGGAGACTTTAACACGCCACTCTCACCAAAGGACAGGTCTACCAACCAGAGGATTGGTAAAGAAGCTACCGAATTAAGTGAGGCCATACTTCAAGCGGAATTAACTGACATCTACCGAGTATTTCACCCTAAAACAACACAGTACACATTCTTCTCAGCAGCTCATGGAACTTTCTCCAAAATAGACCATATCATAGTTCAGGCAAGGAACTTAAGCAAATACAAAGGGATCGACATAATCCCCTGTATCCTATCTGACCACAGTGGAATCAAGCTAGCTCTCAATAACAAAGCATACCGCAGAAATTTCTCTAATACATGGAAATTGAACAGCACACTCCTTAACAAGGCCTGGGTAACAGAAGAGATCAGAGAAGAAATAAAGCATTTCCTAGAACTCAATGAAAATGAAAACACCTCACAAAGAAACTTGTGGGACACAGCAAAAGCAGTCCTGAGGGGCAAATTTATTGCCCTCAGTGCCCACATCAAGAGAATGGAGACAGACCAAATAAATAATCTCATGTTGCAACTAAAACAGCTAGAAAAACAAGAAAAAATGGGACCTAAAGCTACTAGACGAAGCCAGATAACCAAATTGAGAGCAGAGATTAACCAATTAGAAAATCAGAAAACCATAACCAAAATAAACCAAACAAAAAGCTGGTTCTTTGAAAAAATAAACAAAATTGATGGCCCGTTGGCAAGATTAATTAAAAAAAGAAGAGAGGAAACCCATATTAATAGGATTAGGGATGCCACGGGAAACATCACAACACATACCCAAGATATCCAAACAATTCTAACAGACTACTTTCAAAAGCTATACTCTCTAAAGGAAGAAAATCTGGCGGAAATGGATGCATTTTTAGAGAAATACAAGTTACCCAAACTGAGCAAAGAAGAAGTTAACCAATTAAATAAGCCAATATCCTATAATGAGATACAGGAAGCTATCAAAAGTCTTCCAACAAAAAAAAGCCCAGGACCAGATGGATTCACAGCAGAATTCTATAAGACCTTTAAAGAAGAACTAATACCCATACTCCTCAAGCTCTTCAGAGAAACAGAGAAGGAGGGAGCTATCCCAAACTCATTCTACGAAGCCAATATCACACTCATCCCCAAACCAGGCAAAGACCCAACCAAAAAGGAGAATTACAGGCCAATCTCCTTGATGAACACAGATGCAAAGATCCTTAACAAGATTCTAGCTAACAGAATCCAGAAACACATAAAAAAAATAATACACTATGATCAGGTAGGCTTCATCCCAGAGACACAGGGATGGTTTAACATACGTAAGTCAATAAATGTAATCCAGCATATCAACAGAGCCAAGGTCAAGAATCACATGATTATCGCCACAGATGCAGAAAAGGCCTTTGATAAAATTCAACATTCATTCATGCTAAAAGCTCTGGAGAAAATAGGAATAGAAGGAACATTTCTAAAAACAATAAAAGCCATTTATGACAGACCAATAGCCAATATTATACTTAATGGGGAAAAGCTACAACCAATCCTCCTAAAAACAGGAACAAGGCAAGGATGTCCACTGTCTCCACTCCTCTTCAACATAGTCCTAGAACCCTTAGCCAGGGCAATAAGGCAAGAAAAAGACATTAAAGGGATCCGCATAGGGAAAGAAGAAGTTAAACTATCCCTTTTTGCAGACGACATGATACTATACCTCCACGATCCCAAAAACTCCATCCCCAAACTTTTAGAAATCATAAGTCACTTCGGCAAAATAGCAGGATACAAAATAAACCCACAAAAATCAGTTGCCTTCCTATATACTGATAACGCACAGGAAGAGAGGGAAATAAAGGGAGCAACCCCATTCACAATAACCTCCCAAAAAATAAAATATTTAGGAATTAACCTAACCAAAGATGTAAAAGAACTATTTAATGAGAACTATAAAAAGTTAAAGAAAGAAATTGCAGAAGACACTAGGAAATGGAAAGACCTCCCATGCTCCTGGATAGGCCGACTTAATATAGTAAAGATGGTGATACTTCCAAAACTAATATACAAATTCAATGCAATTCCTATTAAAATCCCAATGACGTACATCACTGAAATACAGAAAACAGTCCAAAAATTTATATGGAACAACAAAAGACCTAGAATAGCCAAAACAATTCTAGGGGATAAAGACAATATGGGAGGGCTATCCATGCCGAACTTCAAACTCTACTACAGAGCTATAGTCACAAAGACAGCATGGTACTGGCACAAAAACAGACCCGAAGACCAATGGAACAGAATAGAAGATCCAGATATAAATCCACAGGCCTACAGCCAGCTGATATTCGACAAAGGAGCCAAAGACATACAATGGAAGAAACACAGCCTCTTCAACCGCTGGTGCTGGGAAAACTGGGCAGCCACATGCAGAAAACTAAAAGTGGACCCCAGCCTATCACCATGCACCAACATCAACTCAAAATGGATTAAAGACCTTAACATTAAACCTGAATCTCTGAAACTACTGCAGGACAGAGTAGGAGAGACACTTGAACTAATAGGCACAGGAAGGAACTTCCTGAACAGAGTCCCAGGGTCACAACAAGTTGGAGAGAGACTCGACAAATGGGACTACCTTAAAATAAAAAGCTTCTGCACAGCTAAATCTATCGCAACTAAGCTAGAAAGACAACCAACTAATTGGGAAAAAATATTTACCAGCAATATATCAGACAAGGGGTTAACATCCTGTATATACAGGGAACTCAAGAAACTAATCCCTCCCAAACCTAACAAACCAATTACTAAATGGGCAAGGGAACTAAAGAGGGACTTCTCAAATGAAGAAATAAAAATGGCAAAGAAACACATGAGGAAATGTTCATCATCCCTGGTGGTGAAGGAAATGCAAATAAAGACAACCCTGAGATACCACCTTACCCCAGTCAGAATGTCCCACATCCACAAATCAGCCAACGACAAATGCTGGAGGGGATGTGGAGAAAGAGGAACCCTATTACACTGCTGGTGGGAATGTACACTTATACAACCACTTTGGAAAGCAGTCTGGAGGGTCCTTAGAAAGCTAAAGATTGACCTCCCTTACGACCCAGTCATACCACTTCTAGGCATCTACCCTGAACAACAGGAACCAATATACAAGGACACGTGCACCTCCATGTTTATTGCAGCACTGTTCGCAATAGCTAGGATATGGAAACAACCTAGGTGCCCCACCACAGATGAATGGATCCAAAAATTGTGGTATCTATACACAATGGAATATTATGCAGCCATTAGAAATGACAAAATAATGGCATTTGCAGGGAAATGGATGGAGCTAGAAGGAATCATGTTGAGCGAGGTAAGCCAAGAACGAAGAGACAAACGGTACATGGTCTCCCTCATAAGTGGATGCTAAATCCAAAAGGTTAGGTGATACGACAAAACTAACAGGACTTAAGAAACAAAGAACTCCCGCTCATCTGGTTGAACCACTACTAAATATCCTCATGCTGCTGATCACAAATATGGTATATAACATGTGAACACTGTTATATATTACAGACTGTGGTAGACAATTTGCTCCAGGGAAGTTAGAATGAACTTGTGACTTTGAAATTATGTAATCATTTAATCACAATCAAAAAAAAAAAAAAAAAAAAGAACCTCGGGGAAGGGAGGGAGGGAGGGGATGGTAGGGGGAAAACAATGGAGGGGGTAACAATGTTCAAGAGGAAGTGTACTCATAACCTCACTCATGTAACTGTAACCCTCTGTATAGTAGCTTTACAATAAAAAAAAAAGAAAAAAAAGAAAAAAAAAAAAAAAAAAAAAAAAGAAAGGCAGCTTGGACGAGAAAGGCCATGAAACTCTTATCTCCAATAAACTACCAGAAAACTGGAAGTGGCCCTGTGGCTCAAGTGGTAGAGTGCTAGCCATGAGATGAAGAGCTTGGGGCAGCATCTAGTTTCTTCAAGCCCTACAACCGACCAAAAAAAAACAAAAAACAAAAAAAGAAAAAAGAAATTGGGATACTGTGGGATTTGCTGCCTACCTTCCCTCCTTTACCAGATCTGTATCAGAAAAACTGAAAGTACTAATTGCTCCTTAATTTCAGTTTATTTTCCCCTCTCTGGCTTTAGCCAACTCCTGTCACAGTATGGTGGTTCTTCATAGAAATGATGGAGGAAAAGGAAAAGGAGAGAAAGATAGTGAGGGCCATTTATAAACTTGCCTCCCTCCTCCCCCTACCCAAGTGTTTTCATTCATTCATTCATTCATTCATTCCCCTCTTTGGTTCCACTAAGGGCTAAGAATGTGGCTCAGTGGTATAGCACTTGGGCTCAATTTCCAGCATAATGACAACAATAATAGCCTATAAGATAAAAATGACAAGTGACAAAATTGGGGAAAAGAGGGAAAGGGTCAGAAAATAAAGGACTGATAAGTATATTAAATACAATAGGTGGAATTTGGGGTATATTTTTGAGACAAGCCTGGAATATGTTATCATAGGAGAAATAAAAAACATTATTAAAGACTCTAGGCTCAGAACTAGAGGTGACACACTCCTTTCTAGTGTGTGCATGTGTGCACAAGTGTGTGCATACACACACAAGTGCTCATGCATGTGGGGAAGAGAGTGTGGTAGTGATGATACAATGCTGACTCTACACTTACTAGCAGCCAACATAAAGATGGAAATGCAATCTGTTACATGATTTACAAGGTTCTTGAGATAAAAATAAACCAGTTGCTGAGGAAAACCATAAGTATTCGTGGTGTATTCTTGAGAGGAATTCCTCCCTTGAATGTTTCTAGAGAATCTAAAGTTGGCTGCTATTTCTAAGCAATGAAGAAAAAAATACATCCTCAACTTTATCACTGCCTAATGATCCTTGTTTCAGGATATACTCTGCTTGAGTTAAAAGTGACTTAGAGGGCTATATGGAAATCTTATGGAATTATTATTTTGCAAAATGGTAAAATACAGAAATGCAAAATCAAAAACCAAACAGCCATCCTAGACCAAACATATACATCTGACTCCCTTGCAGAAAATGACATGTTGACATTCCTTACAAAAAAAATATCTTTGGCCCAATGCTGACTTGTCCAGTCTGGGAACTGTAGGAGACATGCATGTGGGTGTATGTAGTGGCATGTACAACACACACTGCTTTAAACCTACTTGGTTCTCCTGGACTCAGAAGGGCCTTTAAATTCTATCTGAATTTACAGAGCAGCTCTGTGATCAAACGCTTTTCTGGTGGGCTACTCTAAACAGAATGGTTCCAGATGACAAGAAATTGAGTGATTCCTGTATAACACTGATCTCCACCCATCTTGTCTGACATCTCAATCATGTTCGCTGCTATTCTGACAGAACTAGTCTGGTTCCCCAGGTGACACAAAATCTTGTTCTCAAATCTGTGGAAACTAAGCCATTCAGCCTTCCACACAACTACATGTATATATTGGCAAACATATGGCTATGTCTGTATCACCTTTGCCTTTATCTTCTTTGAACTACTAGTACTTATTGTGTCTTTTTCTTTTTAAAGCAATCTGTGCAAGTCTATGAAGTATATGTGACAGATACTCTGTGGTTCTCATATGGGAATGCAGAGTATCCTCACAACATTCTCAGATTGTATGTACCTCTGAAGTATCTACTATGTGCTACAGCCACAGACACAGATACAGACTTTAAAGTCTATATGAACAGCTTAAAAAAATCTATATGAATTGCCTAAAAAGCAAAACAAAGTTAAACAACAACAAAAAAAAACCCTCCAAAATCCTGAATTTGAATTTAGAAAATCAATATAAGCTTAGGATGTAGTCAATCTCTAAATAATAATAAAGATTAAAAACCTGCAACTTCAGTCTTGCTACTGAAAATGGCCTAAAAATAATGGACAGACAACTGTAGCAATGAACACCCACACCCTTAGTAGTCAGAATCTTTTTTCTAAGTGATTTTTCCTCTAGTGAATCGGGATTTCTTGACTATATGCACAATATGGCTTTAGAACATCTTGCATACAAGAAGTCAAATACATGATACAATCTATGAAGTAGTTTTGAAAAAGAAAGAAAAAGAACCTAATTACAATTGGGCCTTTAGCTCTGACTATCAATTTATAGGCCTTCTAGAGGGCAGAACATTTTAAACAGTATCACAGAAAAGCTACCAACAAAACTTGAGCTAGGGGAAATTAACTCTGTAGACACAGAATCAAAAAACTATGTTTTTTTTTTCAATAAAAATATTTCAGGAATAAGAGAAAAGGTGGAGAGAGGGGGAGGGGCACATGGAAGGCAAAGCTACAGATAGAAGAAACAAACCCAGACCTGAAAGTAATGTTCCCACACTTAATCTGCTACAACCTGAATCATGAGGCTTTTCATTTTGAATGCTATTGATACAAAGCAACAGAAACCAGCAGTACTTACAATCCACATTCTATCAACACACACCCATGCTTCCTCAAGTATCTGTGCAATACTCACCGCTCCTCCATCAGTTCCCGAATAGAGGCTACTGTGGGGCCAGATCCCAGGTGAGTATAATATGGACCTTCATCTTTCTCCACTATTTGTTCTGCATAGAAACCAAAGAATAGGCATTATTTAGAGATATCAATTAATCAACATTAATTTAGAAAAGCAAAACTACCAATAGGAAAAATAATAGGCATGTTACAAAACAGGAAACTCAAATGGCTTATAAATATGTACAAATGTGTTTCATCCCTTTAGAAATTAGGAAACACAAATTAGAGTCACAATAAAACTGGTTACACACCCACAAAATGGGCCAAAATTTAGACATCTGATAAAATGAAGTAAAGTCTGTGGTCTAACCACTCTGGAAGTCAGCTCACACTCACCCAGTAAAGCTGCAAGCTGCACCCAGCAAGACTCAGCAATTCCATGTCTACATGCACACTCTAGAGCAGGCATCAACACTGCTCCCAATGAACTCAATATCCAGACTCACAGAAGCAGCATTCACAACCAGGTAAAAACAACAACAGATGAGAAGACAGGCTAAGTGCAGTGGAATCATATAGTGGCATATGATTTGGCCTTGAATACTACACTAAATGAAATACATCGAACACAAAAGAATAAATACAAGAGTCCACTGAATCAAATTACCAAGAAGAGGAAAATTCATAAAGGAAGTAGGACATAGAAGTTACAGGGGCTGGGAATAGTGAGAATAGAGAGTTAGTGCATGATGGGGAATGGTTGAGGGTGATGCATGAGTTGTAGAAATGCTACTGACAGTTGCATAATACTGGAAATGTAATCAATGCCACTAAACTGAATGTACACTTAAATAAGTCTAAGATGGCTAATTCTGTTATATTTACCACCACAAAAAGAGAAGCAAGCATACTGACACATACTATCACATGGATAGACCTTGAAAACATGTTCACTGACAAGCCAGATCAATTCCATTCATATGAAAGAGGCAGAACAGATAGAGCTATAGAAGCAGAGTGACTTGAAGACAGGGCTTGGGGGTGGGCAGACAAGAGTCACTGTTCAGTAGGGTCTAATTCCAGAGAAGTGAAAATGCTACCCAATGAGTTAAGAGGTAGCTGTACCATACTGTGTTCAAACTCAGTGCAACTGAATTGTTCCCTTTAAAATGGTTAAATTTGTTATGTGAAGTCCACCTCAATTTTTAAAACTGAACAAACTATCGATTCATGCAACAATGTAGATAAGATTTAAATGATTGTTTTCTAAGTGAAAGAAAGCAGAACCCAAAGGTTACATAGTAGTAACTTTGTTTAAACAGTGTTTTGACTGGATACTATAAGGCTAAAAACAATAAGAACTCTACACATAGTACACCACTGTTCTGCAATTGGTAAGTTTGTTTCATATCTAAGGAGACAGGACAACTGAATGCAATGTAGTTGCATTTCACATTTTGTCTGGATCTTGTAATAAAAAGAACAATAATGAAGTTTAAAAATCTGCAGTTAAGGGGCTGGTAGAGCGCTTGCTTTGCATGCCTGAGGCCCTGGGTTCGATTCCTCAGCACCACATAAGCAAAATGAAAAAAGCCGGAAGTGGCGCTGTGGCTCAAGTGGTAGAGCACTAGCCTTGAGCTGAAGAGCTGAGGGACAGCGTCCACGCCCAGAGTTCAGGCCCCACGACCGGACCAAAAAAAAAAAAAAATCTGCAGTTAACAGTATTGTGTCAACATTAACCTCTTACTTTTGATGTACCAGAATTATATAAAATATTTACATTAGGGAAGGTATGAAAAGGATGTACAAGAGCTCTACCTACCAACTTGGCAACTCTCCAATAAATATAAAAACATCTCTAAAGAAAAAAATAAAACAAACCAGGTAGTGAGCTGTAATTTGTGATCTTGTCCCATAAGAAATCCTGATAGTACTTATTACCTTATTCATGTAACTGTAACCCCCCTGTATGGTATTTTTACAAAAAAAAAAACAACAAAACATTAACCAAAAAAATCCTGACAGGTCACAGTAGCACACACCTGTAATCTCAGCTACCCAGGAGGCAGAGATTGGGAGGACATCCCGGGCAAAAGTTAGTGATACTCTCATCTCAACTATGAAATTAGGCACAGTGGTTTATGTCTGTAATCTACTACTCAGGAAGGTTGCTGTGTGAAACCAGCCTTGGGCAAAAACATGAGATCCTAATGAAAAGTAACTCCAGTTCTCACACACATCAAAACATATAAAAAGATTTTCATAGGGACACTTGAGCAACCGTCAAAATTGGAAACAATCTACTAGAGATGGAATGTCTGTCTGTGCCTTCCCAAAGTCCTGTGTGATGATACTGGGATGCGAGGCTTTCAAAAAGTATTAGGTTATGAGATTGGGGCTCCTCTGGTTTCCACTGCAAGCAGCCTGAGCTGAGAGTACTTAATCCTAAATTTAAACCCCAATGCTGCACCTTCCCCACCCCCAAAAAGAAAGGCTAGCGACGATGTGCGTATTTGTGAATGAACAGTGTTGTTTCAACTTCCTCAGTTCATGAAGGCATCAGGTTACTTTTCCCTTCCTACTGTCGTGGACTATTAGCATAGTCTCCTGCCTGGTCCCCATCTAAATCATCCTACCCAATGCCACCTGTTATGTTCCCAAAACACTACTTCCCACTGACAGCTCTGACAGGCAGAGGACAGAAGCCAAATTCCAGAGCACTGTCAGCAGCCCCTCACCCCTGCACACCTCCCTACCATGAAGCCACCCTCATAGCCTCCTGCCATACAACCATACAGTACCTGGCGTCTTTAACTGTTTTCTCACTAAAAACACTGTCTTCTCCTTTTGGAAAAACTTACCTCTTAAGGTATTGTACAAGTATCACCTGACAGGCGAAGGCTCCTGAACTTTTTCAGTGCCCCTGTATGCAATAGCAACATCAAAGCATGGGTTGTGACCCACAAGGAACTGTTGTGGGGCACAAACAAGTGCAAAGCTGCAGGTGAAGGTTTCATCCCTGATCTCTCAACTCATGTCTTCACATGTAAAATATATTACAGGACTTTGAACGGTTTGGGGCCTGTAATTTGAACTCAATAGGTTATTGATCTGTCAAATGACTGTAGGACATACAAGTTATACAACATTCAGAAGCTTTAAAGCAGATGATAATATTTAAAACATTAGAAAACTGTTGAGGATGAGATGAAATGTAAGGTAATAAGCTTAATGTTACATGAATAAATGGTTTCAATTAGACTTAAAAATTACCTACTCTGCCAGGCACCGGTGGCTCATGCCTGTAATCCTAGCTACTCAGGAGGCTGAGATATGAGGATCTCGGTTCAAAGCCAGCCTGGGCAGGAACGTCTGTGAGACTCTTACCTCCAATTAACCACCAGAAAATTGGAACTGGTGCTGTAGCTCAAGTGGTAGAATGCTAGCCTTGAGCTGAAGAGCTGAGGGACAGTGTTCAGGCCCAGAGTTCAAGCCCCATGACACAAAAACAAAACAAAACAAAACAAACCTACCTACTCTAAATATACACTATTCAGACCCATGAAACTACATTTATTACAGAAGGAGGTAAATGAAGAGTCAGCCAAGAGAAGGTGGGTGCTGGAGGTAGCAGTCTGAAAGCCCTTCAGAGGTGCTAGGAGACCATATAATATACAGAAAATAGAATAAAGTATATACCATAACTTCTGAGCTCTGTTCCAGTTTCTATTGTCTGGAGAAAAGTCAAAAGAATGAACTGACTACAGGGTTTTTGTGGCAACTGGAACATAATATAGTTTTTGGCGACTACTTCTGCTTAAAAATGGTAAAACTCAAAACTCTCATGGCTAAGGCAAAGAAGACGACATTCAAGGACAAGTTACAAACTAAATCTTGGCAACTCTATCTCAGTAGCTGCAAATGAAAGAAAGACGATGTAAACCAAGCCAGCCTGGAAACTGGCCCGTCAGGTTTCTCTGGGAGGGCCACTGCAACACCCTGGGAAGACACTACAAGAGCCAAACAAAACCAAAGCCAATTTCAGCAATTATAAGGTAGCCCAGCAGTGTCTTAAAAACACTTTCTTTCCATTGCACCACTTTCTCTGAGAATATACTTCCTCTAGGGGGGATGGGGGATGGGGTTATATGTGAAGAAATAGTATTGAAACTAGGGTGGGCTTAGAGGTGTGGCTCAAGTGGTAGAGCAACTGCCTAGCAGGCGTGAAGACTTGAGTTTAAGCTGCAATACTATCACCCCCCCTCAAAAAAAAAAACAAACAAAAAATCCCATAACTCTATGGAACTGGAAATGTGGCTCAAGCAGTGAAGTACCAGACTTGGGTGAAAAAGCTGAGCAAGAGTGATGCAGTACAGAAGTACAAAGAAAAAAAAATCACCCAGGTCTACATTGTACATCTATATACACGTACACAAACCCACTCACACAATTTCTTCTTATGCAGGTATCTCCTTATTTTCAGAGTTTTTGCTTTATATAATCATTACCATATAAGGTACTTTACAATAAATGGAATGTGGCCACTAGACCTACTATTAACTTTTACGTTGCTAATACCATATGCATGCCCGGAGCTGAATTTACATGCTTTTGCACACACAGTAACTTTTTGTTTCAATGCTGAATCATAACACACACTTTTGAAGTTTTAATTTTTCTTCATGTACAGCCTTGTGTTGTTTTTTTTTTTTGTTTTGTTTTTGTTTTCTCCCAAAGGCTGGTCACAGACTGATCTTCCTAACTATGGCTTCCCACATATTTGGGACCACATCTTGGCTTTTTGATTGAGATGAAGTCTAGTTTTTTGCCCAAGCTGGCCTCAAACTGCAATCTTCCCCAACTCCATCTTTCCAAACACTTAGGATTATAGGTATAGCTTGACAAATTATTTTTGGAGGGTGACATTACTGGGGTTTGAACTGAGGGCTTCATGACTTGCTAGGCAGTGGTTCTATTGCTTAAACCACATCTCCAACCCATCTTTTTGAAACAGAGGTCTTACTAATTTCTTGCCAGGGCTGGCCTAAAATTGTGATCCTGCCAATCTCTATCTCCTAGGACCACAGGCATAAGTCACTGTACATAG